CATGACATACACCAAGGGAAATGTTTACTAGGCAAATGTTCTTCTTCTCTCCCACTTATTTCAAGGTCTACGATATATGGAACTCTGACTTGACCTATTCTATACACACTCAGAAACTCAAAGCACCACTGCAATTTTGAATTTACCCACAAGACTAGAGTTTATAATCATAGAATAAAACCAATCATGTCACATACGAGGAAGCTATAGCCTGAGTCCCAGATACATACTCAAAGTTGAATGATGCTGGCATAGATCTAGAGACAACTTACTGAGTGATGGGTTTGGTGGCAGGAAAATGGTCAGAACACGGACTTCAATGACTGGGCTCTAGTCTGTTCTTCACTCTATGCACCTGTGTATGGAAGGCCAAGAGTAAATGTCCAGCGCTTTTACCATCAGCAGGAGCTTAATAAAATTCACATGAATGAATGACTTTTGTAACATATCTCAAAGTATCATGGAATTCCAGTCACCTCCTTATCTCATGACCACCTCCTAGTTCTAAATAAAAGCTGGTAATATTTTGACTTCGGCACATTCTTCATCTGCCACTTTCTCTCATCATCCAATAGAATCATTCTATATACAAAGTACAAGGGACTTAAATATTTCCCTTCATGTACTTTTTATAGGTTTCATTTTTTAGACGAGCAATATTAAGTAGAAGGTACACCTAATTCCTTCCCTCATGTACACACAGCCTACGCCACTATCAATATTCCCACTTAAGTGGCACATTTGTTACAACTGATGAACACACATTGATATATCATGGTCACCTAAAGTCTATAGTTTACATTAGGGTTTCACTCTTGCATCCTACAAGATTTAGCAAATGTATAATGACATATATCTCCATCTACCAGTGTAATCTCCTCCAAAATAATTTGACTGCCCTAAAGATCCTCTGTGTTTAACTCTCCCACATCCCTAATCCCGTCCTTGCACTATCCTTTTACTGTCTCCAGAAGTTTGCCTTTTTGCCAACTACCAGAATGTCAGGTAGTTGGAATCATATAATATGTAGCCCTTTTACGTTGACTTCTGTATATTGCTAGAATGAGACAAATATAAATTGCTTTCTCCAAAACTCAGGTCATGTAAATTCCACCATCAATTTATTAATTTTCTTCTTCTAACCTTCCTTTTTAGTACTGAGTAGTATCCTATTGTGTGCATGTACCAGAACTTATTTATCCATTCATCCACTAAAAGATATCTTGATTGTTTCTAAGTCTTAACAATTATGAATAAATCTTCTATAAACATTTATTTGCAATTTTTTGTATGGACATAACCTTTTAATTCACTTGGATAAATATCAAGAAGCATGATGGCTAGAACATGATACCCCGATCATGGATGTTTAATATTTTAAGAAACTACAAACTGTGTTCCAAAATGGCTATACCATTTTGCAATTCCCACCAGCAATGATGATAGCTCCTATTGCTTCACATTCTTACCAGTATTTGGTGATGTCAGTGCTTCACATTTTCACAATTCTATTGATATAGATAGGTGGTGGTGGTGGTGGTGTTTTAATTTGCATTTCTCTAATGACATATGATTCTTGGCATCTTCTCACTCGTACATTGGTTTTGTTGTTGTAGCCATCTGTGTATCTTCTTTGGTGGAGACCAGGTCTTCCAATTTTTAAATCAAGTTTTGTTGCTTTCTTTGTGTTGTTTTAAGAATTTTAAAAATATTTTGGATAACAGCCCTTCCTCAGATACACATTTTGTAACTATTTTCTCTTGGTCTGTGATGTGTCTTCTTATTCTCTTGACAGTCATGTTTCTTCAAATAGGAACCAGCAGACATAGTCTTAATCCAAAGCAGTGTTTCTCAGTTTTGATACTATTGACATTTGGGGCTAGATAATTCTTTGTTGTGGGAACCTATTCTTTGGATTATAGTTTGGCATCAACCTGACCTCTACTAATGCTAGTAGCAGTATCCCTCCCAGGTGTGATAATGGAAAATAAAGTGTGAGATTAGATGGATTATACCTGATTTAGTCCAAAGGAATGAATCAGTATTGGTGAAATGTAAGTCATCAATGAGGTAAGAAAGATGCAGGAATATTTTGACTCAAAGTCCTTCCCAGTGCCTCATGAGCCATTACTAGTAGCTTCTCACTGATCTGACCCTGTTAGTTATGGTGATCTTGATTTGTCTAGCATATATTTACACCTGTTGTCCCCATAAAACTGTACCTGTGTCCCCAGTCATATGAAGAAATTCAAGTTAGGATGATAAATAATAAGCCCACCTAGAATCTCTACAAACTATAATCCCAATTTGGGCCCTCCTTAACTGCCCTCTGGCTTGGGGAATCTGGGTTATAACCAGGGATTCTGGCCATTCATCAGCTCATGCATTCAAAAGCCTGTTCATGAGCATATGGAGAATCAGAAACTTTTGCAGAAAGCCTTGACATATAAATTATACAGCATTGAAGTATAGGCAAAAATGGAAGGGTCAATGAGAGTATTTACTCAGTATATATCAGTGCATTAATATTGATTTTCTTCCTTGTGTGCTAGCAGCAAATTCTTAACAGTGTAACTCTACACAGTGTAAATGGACAAACTGTGTAATTTTAACAGCTGTTGAAATCTGTAACATTAGACTGTACTTTCATTCAGTTAACATCAGGAGGATATAACTAAGGTCAGAGTCAGGGTAGTGGTAAAGCAAAAAAAGCCCATTAATTTCAGGCACATTTATTAACAAAAATACCCCTCCTTCACTTTTCATTTGGGGATCTAGTGTAAAAATTAGACAATAACACTCAAAATGCTCTTAAAAATGAATGTTAAAAATAGGTTATCAGTTAGCTCTTATTTTTAAACTCAGGATTATTTCTGCAACTGAAAAAAAAAAAAGCCTGACTTCCTGACAGAGCAAAAATTAAGATAAGTATTAAAAGCCAGTCATTCTTCTGCATTTATCTCTTTAAAGGAAAACTGTCAAACAGAAAAGATACATTTCTTTTTGTTTTTCTAGTTTGAATGATCTAGCATGAATTTAATAAAAGGGTATTTTCTATAAGGAACACCAAAAGCAGCTTTACGATAATTGCAAGAGAAGTCGTCCTGGGATAAGGTAATTTCTGATATTGTTCCCAGTAAGTGCTGAAAGCAATTTGTAAAAGCCTAGAATCACACCTAATGTGGACTCAGTAGTAACAGATAAGCACTGCAACAAAAGTCTAACCTGTTTAGCTCATTTAATAGTTACAACTAATTTAAGAGGAAAAGGTAGGACTCAAATGCAGGGAGCTGTCCCAGAATCCATATGTTCATCAAGGTGTTCAAGTAATGTTACTTGCTACAGAGTCAGATTTTATTGATGATAGAAAAATTGTTAACATATACCATAGTCCATACTCTAAAATTTCAAAGCTCTCGACTACTTACTTGCATGAGAGTAGACAACTGAAAAGTCAGGATTGAATTTTCTTGCATTTACCTTAACTGCAAGGGGTGTGTGTACATGTGGGTGTGTGTGTGCATGTGTATGTGTGTGTGAGAGAGAGAGAGACAGAGAGAGACAGAGAGAGAGGCAGAGAGACAGAGAGACAGAGACAGAGAGACAGAGAAACACAGACAGACTTCAAGGGTTCATGAGGTGATATATCTTCTAGAAAAAGATTTCGAGACTCAAGAAGGCTATTTTGGACATTGGCTCACATGGGTCTTATAAAATGAGGGCTTTCTTAAATCAAGTTTAAATGAGGTAGAAACGGAAGGATTACATTTTCTTGATAAATGGATTTAAAAATCAGTAGAATCTTTATGCAATTGGCAGTATCATAGCCAATGAGGTTTAGCTGAAGTGCCATTATTGCTAATTAAATCAGTAGAACAGTTAGTGCAGGACAGAACTGATATTACTCCAGATGACTGGGTCCTGTCCACTCCTGAGGGAAAGTGGTTTTTAGTTCTCTTTTAGCTATGCAGAGGGAGGGCATGCCAGGTAATGTGAAATTTCAGCATACAAAGCTGATAAAAGGGAGTCATGAGCAATCAAAATGAATCTTTATTTCCCTGATTACAAGTGATGTTGAACATTTTTTCATATGCTTGTTGGCCATTTGCATTTCCTCTTCAGAGAAGTTTCTTTTTAGCTCTTCTTGTAATCAGGAAAATGCAAATCAAAACTACCATGAGATACCATCTTACACCAGTGAGAATGGCACATATTAAAAAAACTAGCAACAACAAATGTTGGCGAGGGTGTGGAGAAAAAGGAACTCTCCTGCACTGTTGGTGGGAGTGCAAACTGGTTCAACCACTATGGAGAGCTGTGTGGAGATTTCTTGACCTACTAAACATAGAGCTTCCATATGATCCAGCAATTCCACTCCTAGGTATTTACCCAAAGGACACAGAAACATCAATTCCAAAGAACACCTGCACCCCTATGTTTATAGCAGCACTGTTTCCAATAGCTAAGCTTTGGAAACAGCCCAAATGCCCAAAAATAGATGACTGGATTAAGAAGATGTGGCACATATACACCATGGAATATTACTCAGCATTCAAAAAAGATAAACACATGCAATTTGCAGCAACATGGATGGCGCTGGAAGGGATCATGCTCAGCGAAATAAGCCAGAAAGAAAAGGAAAAATACCAGATGGTCTCACTCATAGCAGGAATCTAGAAAACTTAAATAAGGGACCAGGAAAATGAATAACTATAAGAAAGTGAAAATCAAAATCAACAAACAACTATGAACCAGAGACACTTTTTGGGGGTTGGGGGCCGGAGGGGAGGGATTGGGGTCAGAATGGGGGGGACGTTGCAATTGTATGGGGAATATAAAAATAAAATTTATTATTTAAAAAAAAATGAATCTATAAAAATTGACAGGAAGCCCTGGCATTGCTGGAAAGCTGGTATGAATGGTATGTCAAGGCTGAGCCGAGGGTAGCCCTCTTCTTCGGGAATGTTTTACTCATTATTGAATGTGAAGTCTGGAAGAGGAACCAAGGTGGAAAGGGCAATTCCCTCTTTAAATGTTCCCAATTCCTTTTCTCTGCTGCGGTGCTTGGAGAAATGTGTCCACATTTTGCGGAACTATTTTTCTGTTTATCCCCAAATCAGCTGTGAATTTTTTTTCCTGCCAACTTTAATTCTTTCTAGGCTTCTCGGTTCCGCTTGTCTTCTTGGATTAGAGTCTCTTCAAGGCCAGCACCCCTGGAATCTCAGCTCCATTTGCAAGGTAATTTCTGCTGGAAGGCAAGTTTGGCATGTCAGTCTTTCATATGTGCTGTGGCGGGTAGAGGGAGTGAAGAGATGGAGGGAGAGAGAGGGGGTGGGAGAGGGAGCTCGGAGGGAGGGAAGGAAAGAAAGAACACTTTTATTCTTGAAAATGCAACTAAACTGTTGTTAGTTACATTTTTTAAACTTATTATCCAGACACATGACTAATGAAGCACTAATACTTCATGCAATTATCTTTGGAAGACTATACACAGCTCCTGAGCAGCCAGGACTCCACACTATTTCCTGGGACTCTCATGACTTTCGGTACGTTGGTAATTTAAGAAGTAGGAGGCAAAGTATGGGAATGAGCACCAAGGTTCTCTCACTTCCCTAATGCCTCAAAATGAAAGCTTCAGTGCACAGCAAGCAGTGGACAGTGGCAGAGAGAGCCTGGATTGGCATGGGGCAAAGACTCTCAAGGAGACCTTTAATTCTTGAACAGGGAATGGTAGCAGGGTTACAGATAGGCTTTACATGAGAAAGAAAGGGGCTAAATCTGGCTTGTGCCAGGTGAGCCTAGCCCAGGGGCAGTACCCAAGTTGAGTCTCACCTGTCAACAACAGGTAGGGACTGATCAATGGGGCAAGGTCAGGGAGGATTTGGCAAGGAAGTCCCAGAAAGTTCCATGGACTCTGCATTCAGGCCAGCACACTCACCAAGACAGATGACGCACAGAAGGTCTTGGTGACATTTGCTCAGGTGAAAAGTGCAGGGTGTGGTATTATCAACGACTTGTTTAGCCGGGAAGTCATAAACTTCCGAGGTCACAGGCCTTAAGTGTCAGAACGCTTGGTTGGAAAAAGCAAGGGGATACAGCTGCCTTATGTTGAGGAATGTCCTTAAGGGTCACCTTAACTGCTATGTAAATATAGTATCAGAGAAATGTATATTGTGGTCATTGTGCTCTTAATTAAATATCAAAGGCTGGATTATTTTAGTAAAAAATTAAGCTTCATAAGTAACCTAGCTTGGATCTTCAATGACTTAATTTTTTTCACCTTAAAAAAAAGCAAAGCTTTATCCCCCTACATAAATAATCACCTCTTTTTTGGTGTACAATTCCGTAAATTTTAACAAATGCCTCAAGTTATATAACTCATCACAATCAAGATACAGAAAAACCCTCTCACCCTAAAAATGAAAAATGTTCCAACGCTTCCCCTTTAGATTCAATCCCCATCCCTCCCAGTCTCTAGCAACTTTGTGTTATAATTTTGATTTTTCCAGAATGTTATCTATTGTTCTGCAACCATCCCAGGCTAGTTAGGTTCACCATTGGCTCAGGCAGATCAAAAGAGAAAATTGGAGCCCTTGGCATCACCCCACAGGCTTTCTAATAGTACTCAAGGAAAGCAAGCCAGCAGGGAGACAGCAATTTGGGCCCCCTTGTGAATCTCTGTACACTGTTTCCTCTGGTAGCTGCTCTCTGCAACTTTCCACACCTCTCCACTGCACTGTCTTCTGCCGCACACCATCCTCTGTAATGCTGCCCTTATAGCTTCAGAATCTTGGCTCAGGTGTGCCCACTTACGCATGCCCACACCATACTCAAGGTGTCCACAATCAGGCATGCGCACCCCGCACCCAAGCACCTCCTGCATTAACACAATCAAGGCCGAAGGTGATAGCCACACAGGTCAATAGCTCAAAAGCCTGACCATCATTTACCCTACACATATTATGGGGCCTTTTGAGTCTGGCTTCTCTCACTTAGCAGAATGACATTGTTATGAGTATCATTAGTCCTTCCTTGTTATTGTTGAATAGTATTCCACTGCATGAGTAGTATTCCATTGTATGGATGAACCATGGTTTATTTCTCCACCTACCCATTGAAAACATGTTGGTAGTTTCCAGCAGTTGGTGACTATAAATAATGTTGCTATAAACATGTAAGTTTTAGACATAGGTTTTTGGGTGAATTTGAGTTTTCATTTCTCTAAGAGTGGAATACTGAGTCATATGGTTCGTATAAGTTTGTTTCATAAGAAATTGCCAAATTTTCAGAGTAGCTCCACCATTTCACATTCCTACCAGCCATGTATGCAAGTTCTCATTGGTCCATATCCTTGCTAGTTCTTAGAAATGTCAGTAATAGATTATTGCGGTTTTAATTTACATTTTCATAGTGACTAACATACTTAGACATTTTTTCATATACTTGTTATCTATATATCTTTTTTGGTGAAGTATCTGTTCATATCCTTTCCCTAGTCTTATTGGATTGCTTATTTTCTTATTGCTAAATTTTAGTTCTTTGTGTAGTCTAGCTACAAATTCTTTAATGAATATGTGATTTCTGAAAACTTTGTCCCAGTCTGTAACTTGTGTTTTCATTTCTTTATCATGTCTTTTATTGAGCAATTTAACTTTTTAAAAAAAAAAGATTTTTATTTTATTTATACAAGAGCTGGGGTACAGGCCAGAGGCATGGAAGGGTGAGAGGATTCACCAGAGACAGAGCGGGAAGCAGGAACAGGCAGATGGATCAAAAGCACTGCTGAGGGGAGCAGCAGGTGAGACAGGAGAGGTCTGTCTCACCATGTGGAATTCTCCCTGGCCGTCCAGGAATCGAACCCATGCTGCAGAGGCTGCGTACAGCTTCACAGCACTGCACGCAACCCACTACAGCACCGGGGAGACCCAGTTTAACTTTTCTTGAACATTTTCTTGAACATTATTTTTGTCTGTGTCTCAAGCTTTTGGTATTTTTCCTAGGAACTCCTTGTCTAGTCCAAAGTCACAAATATTTTCACTTATGTTTTCTTTTAAAATTTATGTAGGTGGCGTGCAGACCTCTCCTGCCACGCCCACTGCTCCCCTTAGCAGTGTGCTTTGGTCCTTCTGCCTGTTCTGCTCCCCTCTCTGGCTCTGGTGAATTCTCTCACCCTCCCGCACATCTGTACCCAGTGCTTGTATAAATAAATAAATAAAATCTTAAAAAAAAAAAGGTTATGTAGAGCCTCCCCTGTGGCGCAGTGGTTGAGCCCTGGGCTGCGAAGCTGCCCGCAGGCTCTGCAGCGCCAGTTAGATCCCCTGCCACTGGCGAGGGTCCCACATGGCGCGCAGACCTCTCCTGCTGCACCCCCTGTTCCCCTCAGCAGTGTATTTCATCAATCTGCCTGTTCTGCTCCCTGTTCTGGCTCTTGTGAACTCTCTCACCCTCCTGCGCTTCTGACTGTACCCAGTGCTTGTATAAATAAATAAATAAATATTAAAAAAAAAAGTTATGTAGTTTACTTTTTTACATTTCTATGATCATTTTTGAGTTAAAATATTAATTTAGAACTTTTAGGAAAGGGTGGGTTATTTGTTCATTGAATCTAGCATGCCTCTTTACATTTGTTTCCTGGTATATAAGCTTAGATCTACTCTTACACTATTATCAGACATATGCCCAGTATTCATGTTCTTTAATCAATCAACAAATATTTATTAACCATGACATTTCACTTTCATCAATGCCTTCTAAGCAATTTAGAACAATCCTGGTTGGACATCCTGTATGCATAGTTCACCTCCCTGGATTTCATTGTCCTCTCAGTAATTCCCATGAACCTGAAGCTATTTTCATAAGTAACCCAATGACAGATATATTGTCAAGAAATTTGGAGGGAAGTAACTATCTTAGATATCTCCCCAGTAAAATTCCATTTATTTTTTTTTTCCTCTTGACAAAAGACGACTTCACCTACACAAGCAAAGTGAGGCACAAAAAGGAAATAATTGTTTGGATAATTTAGAATTCCTGTGTTCTGCCAATCCTCTCATCTTGACTATTTGGATATAAGAGTTTTAAATGTAGCTGAAAGGAAGTTGGAGATGGTCTCATCTTAGTCCTTCATTTGATGACTTAATCAAGTAGTGAGCCTCCTAAGGGCCAGAGGCTCAGAACCTGCCAAGTGAGGGGAGCTAACCACAGCCTGGTATTTGTTCACAATTCCAATATATGTGCCTGAAATAACCTCCTTACGTTTCCCCACCTGTTCTCACACCCTGGCACTTCTCTCTTGGAATCAAAATCAGCTACACTGGTGAAAGACAAGACAAGTGAGTCTTTTGGCTTCAGGAAGTGGTCTATAGCTCAGGGATGTGGATTTGGGAAGCCACTACATTTGGAAAATTAAAGATAAATTTTGAAAAGGAGAGCTGTGGTATGGAAAATCAAGTAACCAAAGAAAAGGCCAAGGTTTATGGTTTGAGAAGAGTTTTAAGAAGGGAGACTATGATTTAGGGACATTTTAAAAGGAAGAATGTGTAGTTTGTTTTCTTTGTTTTATTTATTTATTTATTTATTTTTTAATAATAAATTTTATTTTTATATTCCCCATACAATTGCAGCCCCCCATTCTGACCCAATCCCTCCCCTCCCACCCCCCGCCCCCCAAAAAGTGTCTCTGGTTCATAGTTTTTTGTTGATTTTGATTTTCACTTCTTATAGTTATTCATTTTCCTGGTCCTTATTTAAGTTTTCTAGATTCCTGCTATGAGTGAGACCATCTGGTATTTTGCTTTTTCTTTTTGGCTTATTTCGCTGAGCATGATCCCTTCCAGCACCATCCATGTTGCTGCAAATTGCATGTGTTTATCTTTTTTGAATGCTGAGTAATATTCCATGGTATATATGTACCACATCTTCTTGATCCAGTCATCTATTTTTGGGCATTTGGGTTGTTTCCAAAGCTTAGCTATTGTTAACAGTGCTGCTATAAACATAGGGGTGCAGGTGTTCTTTGGAATTGATGTTTCTGTGTCCTTTGGGTAAATACCTAGGAGTGGAATTGCTGCATCATATGGAAGCTCTATGTTTAGTAGGTCCAGACATCTCCACACAGCTCTCCATAATGGTTGGACCAGTTTGCACTCCCTCCAACAGTGCAGAAGAGTTCCTTTTTCTCCACACCCTCGCCAACATTTGTTGTTGCTAGTTTTTTTAATATGTGCCATTCTCACTGG